ACACACACACACACACAGACACACACAGGACCTGAGAACCACAGCAGCATCTTTTATACTCGTCCCTGTGTTTCTGGTGGAACATGGACGACCTGCTGCTCTTTTTGTTTCTCCTCACAAATAACATCTTTTTAAAAAATAATCCAGTTTGCCACGAAGCCTTTGAGCAAACTGCAGTTTTTTAAACCTGTTGAATCCTGTCACCTGATCTGTAAATGCTGATGTACAGAACTTTTGTCTTAAAAACAAAGGTCACTGTTCAGTCTTTTCATTTTGTTGTAGTTTTATCTAAAAAAAACAAAAAAAAGGTGAAAAAAATCTACTGCTTGTCAACAACTAAATGCTGCCCTGAACACGTCTGTGGAGTCTGGTTCTGATGAGCCAGAACCACACAGTTTGGACCTGCTCAGACACACACACAGCCCTGAACTCGTCTGTGGAGTCTGGTTCTGATGAGACAGAACCACACGGTTTGGACCTGCTCAGACACACACAGCACCAGCCTGGTTCTGGATCTCCTACATGTGTAGACGTCCATGTCCTGGTAAGTGCTGGTAAGAAGTGCGACATCCCTCAGAACAAGARTGGTTGTGTGTTTTCTTTTGTTGTGTTGGATCAGAACCACAGAAAGTTCTGAATGATAATACTTGTCTGTTGATTAGAACCTCAGTGTTCTGCTTGTTGTTTGTCTGGTTCAGATTCTGCTTTCCTGTAAATTGTGAAACAGTGAGCACTAGACAGTTTTCAGTTTGATGTCTGTTTTCATCATGAGACCTAAACTAGAAGCTCCAGGATCCAGATCCTCCAGAACCCCACCATCTCCTCTGACAAGCAGACCTGTCAGTGGACCTGACTGAACAGGTGTGTTGTGGGAGGGAAAGATGACGGCAGGTGTGTCTTTGGGCCAGAACATGTTAGTTTGTGGGTGTTAAGCCTCTGTGCCTCCTGTGGAGGTTGTGGGTCCACAGATGGTGGGGTTTGGAGGACTCACACTGAGGCTGAAGTCCTGCACAAACACATGGGATGAAAGTTGTTTCTTTTCTTTTTTTTTCAAACTAAATGTACAGAGGGCAGACTTTTTTTTYCCCCAAAAAATGGCATTTCTTCTTGACTGGTTTTCTTATCACTTAATTTATATTTACATATTTGTACCATGTGATTTTTGTTTTAATAGCTTTCATAGCAGGTAGATCTTTCAATAAAACTTTCACCACTGTTCAGACGCCTCATGTTCCTCTTCACAAACATTTACATGGTTCTTCTCCAGATGGATGCAGAGGGTATTTTTGTGTTTATGAGTCAACAAAGCCTCGTTTAAAGTACTGATAAACTGAAGACATGAACAGGTTGGACAACCATGATGAAGATGTAACTTATCCTGGTTCTGGTTCTGAAGGGTTCTTCCTGTTAGAGTTGTTCATTAACACTGTCAGCACTCTGCTGGAGCTCCGTCTGCAGGATTCCTTCACAACAACGACCTTTTTCACAATAAAAACCACAATAACCTTTGAGCAACAAAGGATCYGGTGTTCCCTGACCCGAACACTGAACACAGCTCAGCGGTCACCCCCTGGAGCCTGGCCTGGACACAGTCTGAAGAGACGAGGACCGTTCTGTCCATGTCAGGTACAGAAAGTGGTGGGTAGTGGTTGAAGGCTTACCACCTGTGGGAGGGGCCTCACCACCTGTGGGACGGGCCATAGGGGTCAGGTACAATGTGTGCTGGGCAGTGGTTGAAGGTGAGGACCTTGGTGGTCTGATCCTGGACTACAGAAGCTGGCTCTAGGGACGTGGAACATCACCTCTGTGGTGGGGGAGGAGCCTGAGCTGGTGTGTGAGGTTGAGAGGTTCTGACTAGATATACGCTCACCGGCCACTTTATTAGGTACACCACACTAGTAACGGGTTGGACCCTCTTTTGCC